AAAGGGATGACAAGGGTGAGACGCGCAGCCGCGTCTCAATGTCCAACAAGGTGCGCAAAAAGAGACGCGTTACCGCGTCTCCATGTGGTCGGTGTGTTAAAATACCATTTTGCTCTTGAACGCTCCATGGATGCCCTGCAGCCACTAAACTGATGCTTGCTCTTCAATTTCGGAAAACTGTAGGGGCTATCCTTCACTCCACGCTCATGAAGGGCTAACGCTGCACAGAACTTATCAGCGAGCAGTGATTAGATGGTGGTTTGAACGAATGTTGAGTAATTTGGAAAACGTAAGTGATTAGCCAGGCGACTTCTGGGCTTGATAAACCTTGCAATGTGATCGCCGTGGGTACGAGTGAGAAAGAAATGGGTGGAGAAGGTAACCGGACACTGCACTCATTTTCTATTCGTTCCTTGTAATCAATTTCAAATTGAAGAGATTGAGAACACCACCTCAGTGACCAACATTAATCTTGTGCTTTAATTGAGAGCGTCGCGTAAGCTCGCGTACTATCGCAGGCATATGAGGTTGAAAAAAGTGCTACACACTTTGGAGAACAAGAGCGTGAAAACTGACGAAAAAGCTTAGTGTGGGTTGATGAGACGAATGGAGAAACGAGAAGAAGGAGAACTGTATGAAGAGAAGCACCACTTCACTCACAATCAGAAGAATTGCCTATGAGGAAATCGTTTGTGTTGATAGAATACAAGATTTGCTCAGGAAAGCTGGTCTGCCCCTGTGCGCCGGCTGGGGAGGGGCAATAAAAAGTTTTCTGTCTCCACATTCAAATGGATTTAATCACACTTTGCTCAATTCAAACCGAATGTCCCAATTAGAATTGAAGAGCACATTTCATTTCATAAGAAAATCTTCATAGTGGCCACCTACGTGGACGGCATCAGAAAAATTTGCCCCGGAAACATGGTGCACTGGTCGAGCTCAATGGGGTTCTCGACTGATCGTGTACCATTACGACGGGTTCCGAAGGCGGGTTCCGAGGGGGTTTGCATGTTTTAGAGCTAATGTCCCTAGGAAACTATCCACATTGAATCGATTCAAGAAATTATGTAAGAGCTTCAGGCTGAAGCAGTTACGGTAGACCTCCTTGAGCTTGACGACGATGACAGATGACGTCATATTCTGAAGACGGTGAGGGCAGTGAAGGAGGGCCTGCGTCTACTTATAGAGGGACATTTAGAGGAATATTTGCTGAGAACTTCCGTCAACGACGGCAATCTCTGCGAAGAAAAAAGGCCGAAGTGCGACATGAGCAAAATGTTTTTTTTGCCCCTCCCCCTGAATTCATACAAAAGTGGCCAGGTATGGCTCCATTCCTGTAAGAGGTAATATGAAATTAGCTTGCCTCAAAATTCGTGCCATTTTGAAACGTTTTTTTTTGAGTTGCTATTATTTCAAAAAAGCGATACTATCATCAGCATCTGGACCACCACTATCAGTGCCTTTTTACCAATGACTCATCGAAGGGTCGTTGCCATCTTTTTTCGAATGTAGGCGATTTCAAGCTGAACGAGG